TTCTTTTTTAGGAGGACTTCGTTTTTATTGAAGTAATAATATGTGCGGTTCAGCATCCAAAAATCACAAGGTGATTATGAGAGACACCGTAGTGGATGGCTCCGGAAATTTAGACCACGTGAGGATCTTTAACGGGCACCTAAATCTATAGGTACATGGGTCTCAAACGTTTTAGCCTCCATCAAAAACGCAGACGCCGCTGGCCTAATTCGATGCCGCTACTTTATGGTTAGCAGTTGAGTGCCGTAACCACTAGACTACCATGGTGGGGCGTTTTACAAGGAAAATGATGCCAATACTCACCTAAATACTTTTGGAACAACGGCCGTCCTGCCCGCCAGGTACTCCACGAGGCCCCTCAGTTGCGTGCCCACCCGTGGTTGTTCGGCAAAAGTCGTCGGTACTTAGGGTTCCCAGGAAGCAGTCATCATCCTGGTCGTCCTGCAGTGGTGGGTCGACGGGGGCACGAGACAGGCAGTTGGCGTCGGAGTGTTTTCTTCCGGACTTGTAAACGACGCTGATGTCGAATTCTTTAAGTCTTAGGTTCCACCATGCGAGGCGTTCTGAAGAGTCCTTCAAGTCAGTTACGACAGAACTGCAGCGACGTCTTCAAGTTGGCGTGGAGCAGGAACAATACGATCGAGTGCAGAAGTGTAGGTCATAGCATCCTGATGAGACTGTGGAGGTTCGGGAGCTCCTAACGCTTGCTGGACTTCTTTAATAACAATGTCGGTAATTGAGTCTACTTCAGGTTGTGGCGAGGGTAACAATAGCGCAGCTCGTCCCTCATGATGGCTCGGATCATTTCGCTCACATCAGTGGAGCAGAGCCTTGGATGTTGGTAAAATGAGGCGTTGAATGGCAATCGTATACTACTTGTTACGCATGTCCTGACTCTTTTTGATTTTCGTCGCTTCTAAGACAAATTCTTGGACACTGTTTGGCGAGCTCCGCATCAGGTCCGTGGAGAGCTCCCTCTTTACTTCTCGCAGGAGCAGGCGAGCTTTCTTGTCTTCAGAGATCTAGTCATGTCTTCCGTGAAGAGCACCACATTCCCATTTGGCAGATGCTCACAGTTTTCGAGGAGAGCTTCGGCTTGCTCCTTGCGGACATCACTATGGGGCGAGGAATCTGGTGCGAGAAATGTCCCACGTTGTGATGTTCCGTTCATGATTCCCGAACCAGGTCCGAGCAGCGTCTTCGAAGGCGAAATAGACGTGCCAAAGCTAGTCGCAGTTGCTCCGGTGGTTGAAGGTGGCGACACGGTCATACATGCTTCCAGCCAGCTTTCCGTATCTTCTGTATACCGACGTTCCGCGTATTGTTCGCTGCTCTTTGGGCTGCCGGAACAAGATTGGTGCAGGCGGTAGGTCATCGTGCTTCACAGCCTTGGTTTGCCTGTTGCTATCCGGCAGAGGCTGGTGTTCTTGCTATAGTCCCCGCTGCCTGCGTCTGGATAGATAAGGATTTTCGTTTGCGTCGTCTTCTTTGCGTTTGGGCTTGGGTCGGCGCCTCAGGGGACGTTTGAAGCATGGACGAAGCAGCGCATTTACCTGTGTCACAGAGTTGTGACGTAACTTTTAATTTGGGCGAACCGGTGCCCTGCAGAACGAAGTGTCACTCTATAACAATACGCACTGCTGACAATAGCGGCAAACAGAGTGTTGGCCATCGGTAATCTGACAAGGGGTCCAGCGCGTTGTCTTTGAAATATTCCAGAGTTATCGCTAGCGGTCACATATGACCAAGAAATAACTGTAATGTTCTGTTCGCGTCAAGTGCGTAATCGCATCAGAAGGTTCTAATAAGACTATAGATATATAGTTCCCAGTTCTTCGGGCGTGCTCTGCGCAAGGCAGCAGCTACATTGCCAAAGACAGGAGGGTAGAATTAAAAACAGAAAGAAAAGAGTGGGTGTTGCAATAAAATCATTATGAAAACTATGCTGCTTAATATAATATGATATCACTTTAGCTCTATTCATGGTAATATAAAAATTAATATATAATAAGAGGCCATGCATCTCTTCTTTGCAGTCTCATGTTTACGTTGATGTGTTCACGTGAGTAGGCAGGCATTCATGTGCAAAATCAGTGAACTTTTTTTCTACAATTTACCGAATTGCACTCCGTCGTTTTAGTATCGACTTCCAGCCCAATTTTTTTACCACTTGACAACTCATGGTGTTAAGCTCTCTGTGTTCTCATCTCTGTTAATCATACTCTAAAATGTCTAAAACACACACACACCAGCGAAGAGCGCCGCTGTTACAGTACTCCTGGACCCAACAAGAAATACTCACACCAATAAAAACTATGTTCGGTATAAAAAGCAGCACCCTGAGGAGTTCTGCGGAGAAGACAAGGCAGCGCGTCCTTTTTCAAAGAACGCAAAGAATAGCAAAACTATTTTTTGCGTATTAGTAAAGTACAATTTCCCAATCCCGAAAACATGACTCTTACCGTGGCACGCGGTGCTTAGTAAGCTAGAAAACGCGTGAAAAAAAAATGCTGGTTGAGACGCCACCTTGAGATTCCCGCATGAAAACCCTGTGATGGCACAGATTTCGAAGGCGTCTACTGTATCCCGCGTAGTCTCTAATGCATAAAGATATTGTCATGCAAGGGTGCCATGAACCTAGCCCACAAAGTTTCAGAAAATTTCACAGGGCCAATGTTTCGCAAATAAAAAAAATGCATTTTGATGTTTTGTACGTCACGCGCGCACATTCCGGCGCAAAATTTAAAAATAAAACTTTAACCTTGTTGTTGTCCGGTAATAATGAACTTATGTTGGTGAGACGTTAGACAGTAGGGTTCTCAGAGTGCAGTGTCATTTGAAAAGTGATTGTTTCTCTTCAGTGTCCTTTAAGTGTATCAAACATTGGCATATTCCGCACAGTTTGATTGAGAAGCATCGCTCGGAGACACGATTGGACGCTAGGTTCAAAGCTCCTGGCACCGCCGAACTCCCAGATAAGAGCTTTCCGGCTGAGCCATAGCTGGGCTTTAGATTAATTGATTTCATAATTATAAGAGAGGGAGCTGTTTGAGACGATGCAGAGTGAAAAAAAAAAGACTATCATCGGAAACCAGCAACGTATTCTGTTCATCCCCTTCTTCTCTTTCGATGTTCCCAAAACACATGAACTGATTTGCCCCGTCCTGGGACGCAATAGCTCTGATGGTCGAGAAACCAGTGTAGGGAGAGGGAAAGAAAGAGAGACTTAAGAAAGTGATGTCGGAGAAAGGAGTAGGCGGAGAGATGAAGATAAAGGAATACACAAAAACGATATAGCAAAAAGAGAAAGAAGAAAAGCAAATGAAATAAACAGACATATAAATAGAGGAAGAAAAATAGACAGAAAGGGGAGGTGAAAAATAGAGAGGGCGAGATAGGAAGGGAGAAACAGAAAAGAAAAGCAGTAGATAAAAAAACGAAGATATAGAGAAAGACACAACTAGAAATGAGCAGATGAGAAAGAGGTTGAAAAAAACCGAGAAAAAAGGAAGAAAGAAAGAGGAAAGTAAAGAGAGGCAGACTGCAAAGCACAGCATTTTCTTGAGGCTTGGAACCACTGGTGGAAAGTTGGTTAATTTTTTTAATTGCATTTCGCACGGAATAACCGCAATTCGTTTACACCACTATCCGTCGACTATCATGGGGTTCACTCGCATATTGAGGTTCCATAGCGTTTGCGCAGCTCACAGGGACGTGTCGGCAGAATTTAAATGCGCACACACAATGTACAGGGCGGCTCAACAGTTCTGCAGGCCACTGTCCAATTTATTGTCATGGCAGTGGCCTTAAAACTTTCGACTCCCCCCCCCCCCCCCTGTCCCCCCCCTCCTCCCGTACACTTCTCGAATGCGTGACTAAGTTTCGAAGTTTTCAAAGCTTCGGATTATGAGACTGCTGAAGGCCTACTGAAGGTGCTGAATTCATTTCCTCTTTTTTTTTTCAACTGCCGACATTGTCGTCGCGTAAAATATGCCGCTGATTCCGATGATTTTTTCATATGTCTTTGAAGTGAAGCTAGTATAGTGGAGTAATGCACTGTACATATTACTGAGAAGAGCTAACATGTGACATATTAGTGTCTGAGATTGGCTGTTGAAAGAAGCATTTAAGAAGCAGAGAAAAGCTTGACTGCAGTCCCCTTCCCCCTTTGGGTCGAGTTCAAACCATACTTCTTAATGCATGACAATAGGAAATCGGTGCAATGGCGTGCTTCTCACAGAGGCCAGCCTCTCATCTCTGGCATTCTGGGAGTAAAGCTGAGAAGCAGAAAGTTGCAACACCAGGTGCGTTCGGTGGCCAATAGCCCCACAAAACTGCGCAGCTATAAATCAGCCCTTTGAGCTTCGCACCCCATGTTCAAGGATGTTTCATCTCTTAGAAGATAACATCGCAACACAGGAGTTGTACAATACAGCACCCGCAACTGAAACGCGTTCGTTGACTTGAGTGAGTGCTTACTGCGTCATCGCTCAACTCAAGCCGAGACACAAGCAGTGCAAACACAGTCGAACCACGTAACCTGATCTCGGCAGTTCGTAATTCCACCCGGATTGCGACACTCGGCCAATCGACGTCCGTCTTTGCTAAACCCAGTTTGTCAGTTTACACTTTGTCACCGACCGTAGTACAGTGCTTTAACTTTTAGTTGTAGCGTTGTCCACAGCGAAGCATAACACGTTCAGGTGATAAGGAAGAAGGGTGCGCAGTTATCGCCTTCTGCTCGTTCCTCCCCTTTCACGCTCGCCGTCAGTTCCTTCGTTATCTCATCGGCGTGTCTGCAAGTTGAGAAATCAAGCTGAGGGGGGCGGGGCGTAACTGAACACCGCTTTGGGGGGCGGCATTCATTGATTGGCTCTCACGAACGACCACTGACCAAAGAGAGCGCGAAAAGTGATCGCACCTCTTCCTCCTCCTCCTCCTCCTCCTACAGATGCTTTTAAAGGGCAACCTCTTGATCACCGAGTTCTCCCTACAGAAAGATTTTCTCGTGCCGAGAAGGCGTATGTTTCAAAGTGAGCGAACTTTACGGCACAGTTTTGTTATTGCGATTGAGCAGCAATGTTTTTAAATCTGTTTCATTCGAGGCTCGTGACAGCCTACGACAGCTGAGTTCGACAGTCTTCCGGTACATCGTCCGTGGTTCTAGATAAGAAGACAGCCGAGCATCAAGTGACGTCAGACGGTGACACGTAAATGGCGAAGCTTCGGACGGCCTGAAGCCCAACGAAAAAAAAAAAAACGAAATCTCGTGTAGTGAAAATAGAAGATACTTCGTTGTGAACCACGCAGTGCTGGTGTGGACAGCGAAATTCAGTGACGTCACCAACAAGGCAGCATCCACGTTTGTTTCGCAGAAAGAAGCAACGTTGTGCTCGTGGTTGACTCAAATAATTGATGGATGGTTGTGAGGTTGCTACTGCTCGTGACGATTGGAATGTTAAAAACAATTTTTTGTGATTATTCTGTTAACTGAAAAAGAAAACTTCATTATTATTTCCAGGTGATACCTCTGCCCCCTTTCTACTTAGCTTGAAATATTCAAAAATATTTGGGGTGTGTTGTTCTCCACATATTCTGTTTACGGAAGATAGATTGAACCTGTTGAGTTAGCCCATTGAATCTGCCTGATTACTATTGCACAACGTAGGGGAGTTTTTTTTTAGTGAGTTCATTACACATGGGTTTAGAGAACCTAAAGCTTGAGTTTTACGCTGCGTTGAGTGTTTAGTACGGCGCGTATGTGATGAAACACCAGGTCGAACCACGGAAAGGGACATCGATACCATCTTGCGAAGGAGCGATCAGCTAGGGTTTTCTTGTTGATATCTCCGGAGCCACGTTCACTGTGTAGCGATGGAAGACTTTCTCAGCTTGGACTTCGACATGTCCGACTGCTCGTGGAAGCTGTGGGACGGCATCGAGCAGGAACCGTGTAATTTCGATGGCCTCCTGGAGCTGGACTTCGTGTCTGACCTGGGTCTGTGCACGTCTTCTTCGGATGACACGTCACTGGGTGAGTAGAAACACCTGTCTGTCCGCAAAAGTTGAGACCACGAAAAACCTCGAACAGCTCCACGTGCAACCAACAACCATAGATCATCATAAGCATATTTGGGTGGTAGGGTTCCGCTTTCCATATGCACATAACATTCCATGGACCATCGAAATGCTTTCATACGTTTTAAGATGAATTCTTGTTGATATGCACAAACGTATTGCATGATCGGTACACTTTGCGAAAGGATTACGTGAAAGAAAGATGTAGAAATAATAGAAATGCATTTGTAACGCTTGAGCGGAAGCTTAACGTGAGCTAATAGCGAGGCAACTGTGGAAGACATCACTGCGGATGGCTGTAAATTAGCTTTGGGAATCTAGTGGTTACCGCAAAATATACTTTGGGTGCGCTTTAATAAATGTTGCGGCTACAATTGGGTGAGCGTGTGGCTTGCCTGGGCATGTACCGCGAGAGCAAGATATTCCTTGGTCATTGCGTATAACAGACTGGATTCTAAAAAGAGGAAAGCGCCCGATGTGGAGGTGCAAAGTTGGGTGCGTAAAGTGTGCGGGAATAACATGGGCGCAGCAAGCACAGGACCAGGTTAATTGGCGAAACATGGGAGAGACATTTTGCCGGCCGCGGGTGAAATCAGGCTGCTGATGGTGCAACTGTACTTCACAATAATCGTTGTGGTTTTACATCCCGAAACCACAGTACGATTATGTGAGACACCGTAGCGGAAGGCTCCAGAAATTCAGACTACCCGGCGACTTTTAACGTACGCCTAACTCTAAGCATGCGTAGCTTGAGCATTTTGCATCGAAAATGCGGCTACTGGGACAGGGATTTGATCCAGCGACCATCAGGCCAGAAGTTGGTAGACTGCACCACATCGGTGGTGTGCAACTGTGTGCATGCACATCAGTTTTGGCGATGGTGAAACGTTTTTAGCACGGGTCATTGAAAGCAGATGCAGATCTGAGACCACAGATGTCATTGCGAACGTGATGCTCGGCTTACGAAACGCTTACGGCTAGACGGTGACGCCGCAGGTTTGTCTTCCCTCCTCGAGATACCACCTGTCCTGACGAACGACTGCTGCGAACCGCAGCTTCAAGTGCCATTGCCTGAAGGCGAGGAATACCCGAGCCCAGACTCTTGTGACGTGGCCGTGATGGAAGCCGCGCCTCTGGACGTCTACGACGTCACCACTCCAGCGTTTACAAAAGCAAGGAGCCAAGCGAAGGCCACGTCGCGTAACGCCGCCAGGGAACGCAGCCGAGTGAGGAGCCTTCGAAGCGCTTTCCAGGCCCTGCAGAGTTCACTGCCGTCGGTGCCTCCGGACACGAAGCTCTCCAAGCTGGACATATTGGTCTTGGCGTCCAACTATATTGCACACCTGGGCGCTCTGCTTTCAGATGACGAACAGCCACAGAGCGATGACGTAAGTGTGGCATGAGTGCGCAGCTAACGACTGCCAATCACTCATTCTTTCACTGGCTAACTATAGCCTGCGGTTGCTAGTCGATTTTTCCCCATTGAAATACCTGTTATCGGCCGTTTTAGCCCTACAGGACTAGTTATTGAGCTAGTTTCGCAGAAATTCCTGTGTCGGTGTCATTGCTTGGCTGTGAGTTAAAGATAGAGGTAGCTGAATAATAAATACGCCATAAAAATATTCAGGTGGAGTTGGTGTTGAACCCATGCCTTCTGCTTGACAAGAAAGTGCTCTGCCACAGAGCCACGCCACTGCTTGGAACTTGTTCTGAAGTGAAAAAAGAAAGAAAAATTGAGAACGTGAGAAAGCAATACGGACGTCTTTCCGCTCTCCCATAGTAGAGTACTAAGTACTCTAAATCGTTAACCACTTTTTCTAAACACTCATTATGTTCTGAAAAGAGTTTGCTTAACCCCTTCAGTTCTCCATTTTTTAAATTTTGGTCGGATAGACTTTTCTTGAGTGTTTTTCTTGTAGTTGGGACCTCAGAAGACCACAAACCAAAAATTTTGCCACTGGAGCAAGCATTTTTGGAATAATTAACGTGGAGTCTAATTAAGTCATCGAGGCTTAGTGATTGGAAAATGAAAACAATGACTTCTTTATTCTTGATAATTAATAGTGTACACAGGACGGGATCCAACGACTTACTTTTCAACATTGAACTTATTGAAACAGCGTTGGTACGTCATCTCGAAAATCGCGCTTACCCACCTTACCTTACGCGCCCCAGCTTCCCCGAAGACTTTGCTCGCGTTTCTTCTTCTTTGTGGTTCGTAGCTCCGCAAACGTGCTCCAATTTTCATGTCAATCGCAGTAGGGATCATTGAAGAACCATTCCACCAAGAAAGAGCAGTATTGGTTATGTTTCCGAAATGCTAGGGGAAATTATGTACGATGGTGTCAATCGACTGCAGGTCGAAAGGGTTAACGTAAGTAGTTTAAGCGTATAGTCGCATCAGGCGTGAAGTGTGAATTGATAAACTTGCGGTGGTCTAAAGGCCAACCCATTACACAGTGCTCAGGCGTAATTAATAATCATCAGCAGCAACAGCGACAACAAAATGTGCAGACGCGAGCATTGCTTTACAGACGTGTAGATGGGTATATTTCACCAACGCGCTTATATAAAGAATTATGCCGTGGTGGGCACTTCGTAACTATACACTTGAAGGAAACATTGCACGCCAGTTTGCAATTGCCAAAATTACGTGCATGGGTGTTCCTTTCTCTGCGACATGGTTCAGATGTCAACCGAGCAGGTCGAGCTGTCAATCAATGCGAACGAAGCCCAATTACGCTAACGCGTTCTGCTTTGGAAGGTGAAGTTTAATCGTCTTGCAAATTTTTGTCTGTCTGCAATACTTGTGTATATGCGCACGGATAGTGAACAGGCTTTTCAAGAACTACGGCGCACCGTTTCGTGACACTAACTGATGAGCATCGTCATAATTGCCCTGTGTGTATGATTACTCCAGGTGGTTACACTGTGCGTTATTGACATGACGTGAGCAAACATACGGAACGATTTGTGAGTTGAAAGTGTTCTTATTTCAGCGCGAGAAATATATGAAGCGGTGCACCTTCACGTGAGCTGGAGTCCCAGAGAATTCGCTCTTATCTAGGCCAGAAGCGAAAGTGAAATGCAGGAAATTGGAGCCGTGGCCTTAATAATCGAGTAAGTAAGCGCCAACTTTTTCGTTTATTGTGTTGCAGAGTTCTGCTGACGACTCTCCAGGAAGAGAAGCTGAATCATCGAACAGTCGGAGCTATCTGCACCCCGTCAAGGTGAGCTTTCCAGCTTAGCAATGTTGAGACGCTCCTGTTCCATGTTTCTTAACAGAGGTAAGCACAGTTGACATTCCGAGATGCTCGTAGTGAAGTCGCGGCGCACAGGCTCCGCCCAGACCGATGCTCACTACCACCCTTTATGATCACGTGACTACGGTACCGGCAGCTACAAAGCTGCCTCCAAGAACAGTGCCCTGGGGAGCCTACCGAGTGAACGGGTTGAACATGGGCCGGGAACTATACGTGATTGGTTCATCTCCGTTGTTTAGATGCGAAGTGTGTTATATTCCAGCTCAATCCGGTGTGCGGCGTGACCCCCCCCCTCCTACTGCGCACGCGCGTTCCCTCTCCCTCTATCGCCACGCAATGCCGACGCAGGCAGCGTGTGCCGTGTTTAACAATTCAGAGCACATAGTACACTACTATGAGAGAGTATAAAGTTGTTTCAGATCTTTTTAAACAGTTCTAGAAGACCAAATGATGTGCTAGGGAGTTTCTTGAGTAACAAAAAAAAAAAAGGACTGCTCACGCTGCACAACCGTTCAGCGGCCACCACCTCGTATATATAGGCACTGAATCTTGACCTCCAAAGTAGCGCGCCGATGGAAGATTTCTCTTGTGCGATGTTGAACAATTGAAATTCGCAGCATGTGCGTTTACTAAACGCGTAATGCGGGTCTCCGTGTGCAATCGGAGTCTTCAGTCTCTCATTGTCCATTAGCAGTGATTGACATGTTTCATTAGAAACAAAATGGCAGCATGTCCACGGGGTGAATGATAGACACTGGGGCGAAACCTCCGTCCGTCCATTCGTTCTTGCTTCCATCCGTTCATGCGTCAGTCTGTATGACCTTCCGTGCGTCCATCCGCCCATCCGCGCGTGCGTCTGTTCGTGCGTCCATCCCTAGCTGCGTTCGTCCATGCATCCGCCCCTGCGTCCGTCCATGCGTCCATCCGTCCGTGCAGCCATCCGTGCGTCCGTCCATGCATTTGTCTGTGTGTCCGTTCGTCCATCTAGTCAACACTCCAAGTACCACCATCTCGCATCTTTTCATCATATATTCTCCATACAGAAGCACCGCCATCCAGCGGACATTCCAAGGACTAAACGAGAGGTGGCACACACACACTTTCTTACGGCTTGCGCTTCGTGTCTACTTTTCACCTTTAACCACCTCGAGTTCATGGTATATACTAGTTTACTGTATTCATGGCACTACGGCCCAACACTCGCTAAACCTTTCTAAAACCAAGGAGGTTACGCCCAGCGAGTATAACATAGCAACCCTTCCTCGTCAGATAGTGCTCAATGTACATGCCAATGGCTGCTAATGGGGAATGAGAGACAGGAGAATTCGGCTTTTGGTTAACGCGCATGCTGCGAATTTTTTATTGTTCAACAACGCACAGGAGAAATCTCTCACCGGCAACACCTTGCAGGTAAAAGCGTAAGACATGTTACGCCCTACTATGAGGGACGATCGGGTGCCGATCTAAGGAGCTTCGCCCCTAAAATCGATCCATCGCTGTGTGATAATCACCTCCCCAAGTTTCTCTTTTTTGTCATATTTCGTGTGATAGTGGTTACGGACACCGCCGGCGGCGGCGGACAACTACGGTGCCGCGCTTGACCAGAGTTGGTATCTCGTAACACCTTTCGCCGTAAAAATTCTGTCCGCAAGAAGACGCTGGGTAAGCGAAAAAACGGGTAAATATATAGCATGCGGGTGCCGATGCAATTTGGGGCTCTCACACCAATCGCCGGGATGTCTACAAGTTCCTACGAGTTGTTAATCGATAAAAATGGAGTGCATTGTCTTCTGAAGAAGTCTTTAGTTAGGACACCAAGTTCAGTAAATCTCACTGAGCCAATGGGGCCAAAATAGGAGAAACCATTTTGAAATCCATGCCGTCACCATCGGAGACTTCAGCTGGAAATTAAATGTAATACTTTTGGCATTGATTTTCGCTTCTATTCGCTAACCTATAGTGGTGAAATGAATGGCAGTATAGTTCTAAGAATATCATTTATAAATTTAAACTTATTTACTGGCTCACTTCAGTGTCTTGTAAAGCGTGCTGGAAACCCTTGCAACTCCCCTTGCACTTGGCAGATTCAAAACCTTTTTTGCGGCAGTCCATTCGGGAAGCAGTAAACTCGATTAATGAAGCATTTGGATGATTGGCTGAAAAAAAAATTGCTGCAGGTCCCCTTTAAAGCAAGAGCCTCGTCATACGAGAAAACTGTTTGTCAGCATCCTCGAGATTGAGCGAGACGTGACGATACTGTGCGAGATCTGCTGAGAAGGTCGAGCGACCGCTTGCGTCTGACGACCAAAGAAGCTACTGGCGGAGCACCGATGTTCCGCATTGTGCACGGTGAGTCAGCGTCGCCAACCACTCGTGATCGACCAGTACCTTTCACGTCCACTCGAACTGCCATCGCTCCGTCAAGTATACATGCACCTTATTCTAGATTGATTGATAAAAACACCATATGATTGTGAGAGACGCCGTAGAGGAGGGCTCCGGAAATTTCGACCAACTGGGGTTCTTTAACGCACCTTATTCCTGCGGCTGCTGATTGGTTTCGTATGATTGCGAGCTGCGGATGCGCTGGTGAAAAATTGAGTGGCCCAGTGAGTGTCCGATAACGGTCAGTTTTCGGTCAACTTAATGATTTACACCAACATTGGGAGCCAGCGAAATGAGCTTTATTTATTGCGGCGTCTGCTAGACAAAGCCGCTGCATCCAGCGGCCGTGTCCGTTGTTTCTTCATTGTTGCGGCCCCTTGAAGTGGTACTTCCGCAGCCTATGAGGATGCAATCGTAAAGGTTTAAGCTCTTCATGCAGACGTTCAGCTACACAGCGACTGAGGCTCCCTCGCTGTCCCCGCTAGCCACCGCAACGTGACTGCTTCGTGCATGTAGTTCGTGCGAATTTAGTGTTTCTTATCTGGACGCGTGTCGTTCAACGTGCGTGATATCACATAAAAAACACGTCATATCCACGAAGTTAATGAATATGAGTGGGCGAAGCAGTGATATCATTCAGTGTTACCGCAAATCACCTGTGAAACTGACCACTCACGCATGTCAATGAGTGCCAAGTGGCGTACAGTCATTACAATGTTTATTCGTCATAATTGGTATGTTGTGTTGAGCTGTGAATTGGTGTGCCTTCATTATTCGGATATAGCCTGAAGCAGGCAAAGGCCAGGTCCGTGCACGTTCTTCTAGAGGTTGTTGGTTGTTTCCACTCATTCGATATGCATCGTAGAGCATACCGAGACGTCATATACTGCACAGCCAGTCGTTGTCCGTGATCATTATCGTCATAGTCATCGTCATCACGGTTACGGCGCACGCCAACGGGCAGCTTCGCCCCTAAAACTTTTTCATGAAAAAGAACTGGGAAAATCCAGAAATATAGCTGTTTCGAACGGGACGGTGGAGGACTGGGGACGTTGTATGAAAAATGGGGACAGTCCGGCAAAATAATTGACGGTTGGTAGCTCCATACGCTGGCAGCCCTGTACGAACAAAGCGGACGAACGAGTGCCAGTATGAGACATTAGAGAGTTTTAGTACTGCGGAATGGTGCTACGTACGCATCACGCAAGCGCCTTGCGTTATGTGGCGTCGTTTGCCACTAATCGGCTTTTAGTACGCCGTAGTACCCGCGTACGTAACGAGCGTGAAGCGTGTTGCGCCATCTGGTAGATCAAAATAGAAGCACGTGTTGTTGACAGCCAATGTGAGCCAATCCAAGTGTTATAGCCAGATTATAGCCATATTTTAAGCCACAGAGCCGGTCGGTGCTTGCCTTTGATGCCGCCATTTTGCAAAACGAAGTCTCGCATTGTCGCGAACTTGTTCGAGAGCGGCGCGATCACCTCATACGTACGCACGCACGCATCTCATGCGTGCGTACGTAGCGGCTGCGCACGTAACGCGATACGTGCGCGCTGCGGTCTGCGCATGCGCACTACGCAGAACGTGGCGTCCTTACGTACGCAACGCCGCCACGTACGCAGCGTACGCAGTACTAAAACTCTCTATTAAAGGCTTTCGCCTTAATAAATAGAAGTGCACTAACATCCTGATGCTTGTTGGACGGAAGTACATAGTCGCTCGGAAGGGCATTCTCTCTGTGAGAAAATGGCAGCACGCGACCACCACGCCTACAAAAAAAAAAACGGCTAATTGTTTTTCTTTTTGCTTGTTTTCACTTTGGGGAAACTGCTGACTAGTGGGAATGAAGGAGGGATGACTGTCGCTGAAGCTCAGTTGATAGATCATCAAACGCGTTACTCCAAGGTCGCAGGATCGGTGCCTGCCGGCGGCGAGTTCTCTCTTCGTCAACTTTTCATTCTTCACATTTACATTACGCTTACTTCATATAAAATTCCTTACGTTTTTTGGGTGGCATCAATGTCTGTTAGTTCTGTTTGATATTCCGCGAAAAAGAAATGACGAACCCTTGAACCTTTACTTCTTTCTTTCCTAATATAGCTTGGTTTTCTTGTTTGAAGTAAATACTGAGAGACTTAACAGTATATCGTAGTTAACAAATTTCCGCATTAGTGGCTCAATAGCAAGCGAATACGCGAGAAATGACAACATATATTGAGAAATGATTTGCAAAAGTCGCGAGCGCTGTGAATACGGTTATTTTAGACGGCATTTGTGAACGAATAGTGTGCTATGTCTGTTGTATTTATAAACCAAGTCTATTCCAAGCGCACTACCGCCTCCTTGAGGTACTTTGCCAAGTATAATTTCATTGTTTTAGGTACAGCTCACTGTTACCCTGTAGCTGAGTGCGAAGTACTCAAGAACGTTATGCACTTTCTCTAAACACAGACGGCATCAATGTCTAAATCGTCCGATATCTGTTCTAAACACAGCTTCAAGACATGTGTTGTTCATAGAGTGTGAGACCCTCGGGATGGTTTCATGCTCTTCCATAATAGAGTACCTAGTATTCTAAAGTGTTAACCACTTTTTCTAAACGCATGGTTTAGTATTCGAATTCGTAACTGGGATGACTTTCTGCTCTCCCATACTATATATTACCACCTACTCTAAATTGTTAAATACTTTTTCAATACACATTGTCAACCACTTTTTTCTAAACACGCTCTCATTAGTACGTCGCATAGTTTTGTGTTTTGATTTATGCCCTTGTAACTCAACTTTGTTCCGACATACTTCTAAACGTATGTCTAGCAGGGAAAATGTTATGCTGAATTGTTATTCATCCCAAACGCGTATAAGATATAGCATAATTCTCCTCCTCTTCCCTCCCACTCCAGAAATTGTTTTTTGATTGCTCTCACTGGTAGTGTTAGCCAGCGCCACTCGTAACCAAGATGCCCATGCGATGCACCATGTAGGGTGGCTTTACTAAGTGTTACTCCTGAAACGGACGCTTGGACGAGCTCGTTTATAATCAATAAAACTTAACATGGCAAAAAGACAGTACATACGTGGATATAAGCAGAAATGGCTCTGAACACGCAATCGTTTGATCACTTCAAATACTGCACCTCTTGTGGTACGCATTGAAACAATGGAAATGTGATTACATGATACAAAGCCGTTATAATGCCTCGCGACGTGAAGTTGCCGAAAAGAACAGTCAAGTATTATCCTCCATTTACTTCATCTGATCACCTTTTCGCTCCTCCGACACGTGTCATAAATATGCGCTGCGTTCAAAGCAATAAAACAGTCGTGAGTTCAGTGCTGCGTCTTTGTGCCACGCTGGATGCTCTGTCTTTTTTTTTTTTTTGCGCCGTTAAATACTGTTTTAAGTCGCTACTAAGTTTCACGCGTAAAATTTTGTGGATAAACTGGGGGATATGCTTGCCGGACCCATGGGCCGAGAAGCTCATCGATCGCTGAAGGAGGCATGAGCGTCCGTTGACGCAATTTATGAGGGCGTGCGCAGAATGTCGTCCAGGGAAGACGATGTTTTAGTCGCGTCCGAGGCCAACGACGCGGGTGGGTTGCAGGTCGATCGACAAACGACGCAGGAGGAGTCAGAGAGCCTATAAAAGTCAAGGGCGACCGTCTTGTACTGACGAGCTTCTTTTTCTTTATCTTGCATGAATACGCGATGCTTCACTGTAATAATTTCATGCACTGCAGCGGAGGTGATGCATTGTGCCGGAAGGAAAAGTGACGCTCGGAGTCAATGCTTCCTTTTGTTTCGTTCGATTCTGTACCGGGGCGGGAACAGTAATGTCTTACGAGAAACATGCGGAGCGGAGAGACAATCGAGCAGGCCCAAGGCGCACGCTATTCAGCTATTACGCGGTGCTACGCAAACACACGTGCGCTACAGAGCATCCCTGAAATAGGTACGCAAATGTTATGCGGTCACCAATTGAAGCTCATACATGCGATAGAAGAGAGCAAATAATTATTTACGTGTGGTTAGTAGCCTAATATATGGTGTCGGACACTTTCGTGTCTTGGTAGTTAATAATATATACAAAAGTTTACCGCCACTTTGGTTTTCAGTTTAGAGCTAAAAGCAAGAAAGTTCTAATGAACAGAGCTCTATACAATGTTCTAGATTCATTTTTTATGTGAAGCACGACCCACAGAGGGAAAGTGTGAGGTCCACTGATGTGCTCGACAAGCTTTTGTACCATTGCTCCGCCATGACTATCGACAACAGCGAACCTACAGCACGAGGATGATATATGTTTAACGCGCGCTGGACGCATGCAGGGGTGCAAAAGTGGCACTTGCAGAGGGCGTTTTGGAAGTGCACCTCAGCCCAGTGTCCGTTGAACACCGAAGTATTGGCAAGTCGCATTCATTCATTCATTCATTCATTCATTCATTCATTCATTCATTCATTCATTCATTCATTCATTCATAACAACCCTCTCCTCTCTCCTGATTCGTGAAGAACGATTACCACGGCGTATATAAACACATTTATGTACACATTGATTATATTCATACAGTAACAATGCAACTAATTATGCAAAGCACGGCTGAGCCTTAAACATCGTATCAGCTAGTACAATAGTCGTCATCTTGCCCCACACAGCCCTATACATCCTTCACGTAGGCCAAGGAGTCACGTTGACATATACAGCAAGCGTATAGGGCCGCACAAGATGTCACACAACGTGAAGTGCTAGACGAGTGCTTGAAAGCCGCCAACTAATTATGAATGGCTTGGTTATAATTAACCATCACACGTTCATCAGGTGCAGCATCAACAAAGACGCTGATATTGAAAGTGCGCCATGTGGTACAAAAACCCTCTTTACTTTTCACATTCTAGTGAGGAGAACGATGATGACGATGACGATGACGACGAACGACGACGACGACGATGATGATGATAACGATGATGATGATGCTGATGATGATGATGATTGTGGCTGTGGTGGCTGTTGGCTTGACGTAGTTTTATCGAATGCGTTGGAGACCTGGTGAGTCTTCAAGTGCGGACCACATCAGAAGCCCAGCTTGTCGAATGTACATCTCATGCGGCGTGATCACGCTCACAATGAAGAGCTTTACAAAGGCCTAAGACAAGAGTATCGGAGCACTAAGATGGGGTAAATTAAACAAACAAGTTATAAAATAATATGAATGCTATAAACGACATGTAGTTGTAATATTTTGCTTGAAAACTCTAAAAACGTCTTAGAAACAAGCTTCTGACACCGGTTCCCCTCGATAGAGGGCGCCATCAACTCGCCAGGCTCGCAATGCCTCCTCACACCTATGCTTCTCCGGTGCCTCGTCGATACATTTGAAGGGGCAAACAACCCGATGGAACACGCTGCAAACAACACGTATCCGAAGTAGAGTACAAAGCAGGAAGTCGATGAACATGAAAAAGTAACGCACAAGTCGCACACTGACTCTGCCAATCTCTGTAACAGGATTTTACTCATGCCGGGGAAGCCATTCATGCTTACATTGAATACTTACGTCATCGATGGTTTGGTAAACGCAGCTGTTAGAACTAAATGAATGGAAATCGCTGGGTGCCCAGGCCATGCACTTAGCCATTTTTCACAGTATTGAAGCTGTTTTTAGGGCGAGATTTAGAACTAAACTCATGGATAAACAAGTGTTTTGCATTATTATTCAATTGTTCATGATCCCTATATTAGCTTCTTTTCTTGTTTTGAATTTCAGAAGTGGCCTATGCGTTCTCGCCTCTACGCTGGTGCCAAGCCGTACGCAGACGACAGAAGCCGACGACAGGCCGGCGACTTTGCGACGATGAAGAAGTCTTCGAAGAACGCCTGGAGGCGCCAGGAGTCGAGGACGTAGGCGACTTGCGACGAGCAGCGCGTGCCAATGAAATGTCTATTGCAGCTGTGCGTACGATGATGCTGTTCGAACCCGTTGGCCCGAAGGCACTTTCGGGGACCATAAACGTGAATTCGTGCGAGCTAAACAATGAGGTACTCCAGGCTAACTACGTATTAAAGATTACCGCCTATCTGACCCATCCGTTTACTTCCACTGTGATTATACTTCCTTGTTTTCACAATGGATCGCAATCTATGCGGCCGAGGTACGGAACTAACAATACAACTGTTGAACGGATTGTAAGCCGATACCTCGGCGTAGCCAACGAACGTTTAACAGCGAAAGAAACTGCATGACGATTAAAAAAAATGATCATCGTGTTGGACATGGTATGCACTTTTTTTATCCTCTTCTTCGTCATCTGCTTCACTTCCGAGGTCACGCGAAGCTTGACCAACGCGCGATGCAGTAACTGTGATGGTCGAGAGAACAAATACAGTACAAAGGGAAAGAGAGAGAAGGAAAAATGACGCAGTTTTGACCTGAAATTTCCTAGGCGTAGGATAGTATCGGGTCGACTCAAAGGATGGACCTACAAACAAACCCATACCGTGCTTTACTAAGCTGTTTATTGGGATATCCAAAAATGGAAAAAAAATGGATGAATGAATATAAACGACCGAATGAACGAACGATCGAACGCCAAGCCACTATTCGGAAAACCTCCGTCGGCTGGAGAGCTCGCGGGGACGACCTTCAAAGCAGAAACCGCCTGTGGTTCGCAGTACTTCTGAACGCGATCCCATCACTGCGTTGCGAATAACGGCTTCACTGTCACGGCCGCGCACGCGACTCGCACGCGCTGCGAGCCCTTGAGACGAGCCGGTTGGACCGCTTCCGCCTACACGAAGGCACGTGTCGCGTGTCTCAAAGCGTCATCTGCCGCAGTTTTTCCCGGGAGTCGCTGGCGTACAGAAGAGACCACGAGAGCGTCCCTTTAAACGGCATCTACCGCGCCGTGTCAGCGATAAGGCCATGCGGCGGTTCGGCGCGTTGTTTGATAGGCTCAACCATGATGCGATAGATGGGCGCAGCTCAGTCGGCTGATTACAGTGATGATGACAGTGGCGACGTGCGCGATGTTGTAAGCGAGATGTTTCTTCTTGTTCCGCCCGTCGTCGTCAGGAGGCCTGCTCGCAACTTGTCGGCACGCTCCCTCCTTGACGTACGAGCTGATGGAATCACGACGTCGTCGGGGACACCCGTATCTGAACGAGGATGCAGTGTGTGTGTGTGTGTGTGTGTGTGTGTGTGTGTGTGTGTGTGTGTGTGTGTGTGTGTGTGTGTGTGTGTGTGTGTGTGTGTGTGTGTGTGTGTGTGTGTGTGTGTGTGTGTGTGTGCGCTTTTTGGGACCCTGTATATAAAGATAACTAAAAGGAAATAGGGGTGGCCATCACCACCAGGAGGTATAACGGGCTCAAGCCAATCTAACATAAGCGAAGTGAAGAAATCCCCCAAGGTTATTAAAAAAACCGATTCGTTCATAAAAATAACGAGGTGAAACTTAATGAGGGTGACATAGAAGTGCAACCAATAAACCGATTAGGTTCTCAGGAAGGAGCAAGTCGATATGCATCAGCGGTGCATTTCCCTAAGTTCAGTTTTTGAGGGGCGCGTGAGTGTGTGTGCCTGCGTGTTTATCTAGACTGCGTTGCTGTTGAATGCGGGCAAGTCCAAAGGTGACAACGAGGTGGGATGTGAGCCAGTGGCCTGGATGATGAGGTAAACGTTGATGAGAATAAGAACAGTAATTGGTCAGCGATGAAAGTCAATTTCTTCACTGCAGGAGCAGTTTCGCTAGGCACCGCGGGCTGTCGTTCCAACCAGTGATGCAACAGGAAACCTTCAATCACCCTGTTGTCCCGCCATGGTGGTATGCTGGCTAAGGTACTCGGCTGCTGACCCGCAGGTCGCGGGATCGAATCCCGGCTGCGGCGGCTGCATTTCCGATGGAAGCGAACACGTTGTAGGCGCGTGTGCTCAGATTTGGGTGCATGTTAAAGAACCTCAGGTGGTCGAAATTTCCGGAACCCTCCACTACGGCGTCTCTCATGATAATGTGGTGATTTTGGGACGTTAAGTTCTACAAATCAATCATCATCAATTCACTCAGCCTGTTTGCCGCAGTGAACTTAGAAAATGCACCAGCTGAAACAGTGGCATGCTTTTTAAGGGAAAACGAGCAAGGGAGAGAGAGAGAAAAAACTTTTATTAATAACAAATGCGCACTGAGCCTTCCTTGGGTGGGGCCCTCAGTCCAGGGCCCCACTGCCTTGTGCGACCCTGCGATCAGCTGCTGCTGTTCCTGACGGCGTCAGCTGAGCAGTGCAGACTCCCAAGAGGAAGGGGTGGGATTGGGAATGGGAGGAACGCCTTGTGGGGCAGATCATTCCCACGTGGAGTGGTACATTGTCGGTACGGATTCACAGAACGGGCAGTAGGAGGGGTAGAGAGTCGGATGAAAGTGATTTAGCATATAAAGGCAAGGAAATGAATTGGTCTGTAGTTGCCGCCAAGCGACACCATCTGCTCTGTTACGTGAAGGATGAGGGGGAGGATATGTATAACGGCTCTGCCGGTAGTACTCCAGCGTAGCATTGTAGTTTAGTGGTTCTGTCTATTCGTTGTCTGGATTGGACAGCTCTTCTAATGCAGCCCGGCCAGTCAGCCCTCGGGCAACCACATTAACGCGTTCATTACCATGGAGAAAGGCGTGTCCAGGAGTCCAGACGATACGCACAGGGCGTAATGCGGACGGTGAGACAGAAGAGAGGATATTGTGTGTATGTGCAGCCACAAGTCCTTGAGCAAAAGCACGGCAAGCAGCTTTTGAATCTGTTACAATAGTGACAGGGGAGTCATGTGACAGTGTCATAACGTGAACAATTGCCAGAGCAAGAGCTCTTTCCTCTGCCAGACCACTGTCTGTAGTACGAAGTGTGGCAGATGCCACAAGGGCGTCTGTGTCATCTGTCACGGCTGAACACATGGCTGATATCTCTGGGTAGCGTGCCGCACCAGTGTAAAATACTTGTAAGTCTGTGGTACCATCACTAAAGACACCTGTCATAGCCTGAACTCGGGCACGTCGATGACCGGCATGGCGGGAGGGATTCATATTGCGTGGAATCGGAGGCACTCTGATAAGTGCGCCGACAGTAGAAGCAAGTTTATGTCGCGGTACTTGTGCGGATTTTTTGGGAATCGGGTAGCCAAGACGAGACAGGATGGCGCAGCCCTGACAGCTCTGCCTGAGCCGTTGGAGCTGACTGTTGTGCTGGGCCTCGATGAGTTCGTTTACGGTGTTGTGGACTCCTAGTTGAAGGAGGCGTTGTGTAGATGCGTATGGAGGCAAGCCGAGAGCCGCCTTCACAGCTGTTCGTAGAAAGATGTCCATCTTTTTTATTTGAGCTAGCGTGAGATTGTGAAAGGGAAGATGATAGGTGAGCCGACTAACTACGAGTGCTTGTACTAAGCGGAGGACATCCTTCTCGCAGAGGCCTCTCCTGCGATTGGTGATGCGTTGGATCATGTGTGTAATTTGAGTTATCTGCTGAGCCAGAAGGTGTGTAGTGTGCGAGGCCTTGCCGTCGGACTGAAGGTAGAGACATAAAATGCGAATTCGTGGTACTGGAGGGATAGGACGGCCATCAAGAAACAGCAAAATGTCAGGAAAATCAGTGGTTTTGGGGCGCCGCTTGTATACCAATAACAACTCCGACTACTTATCCACTGAGCAGGTAAGCCTGCTGGCAGCAGCATAGTCTTGTACCACGGACACAGCTCCCTGTCATGAATGGTTCCGTGTGATCCTTTGGTTGCCCAAATGGTAAGGTCATCTGCATAGATCGCATGCTGGATGTTAGGAACCTTTTGTAATGGGGAAGGGAGTTTAGCCATAGCCACGTTGAACAAAGTGGGCGAGAGAACCGAACCCTGTGGTGTTCCTCTGCCTGCGAGACGAATGACGTCCAACCGGAGGCCTGCAATCCCGATAGTGGCCGTGCGGTCAGAAAGAAAGGACCTGACGTAATTGTAGATACGCGAGCCACACTGAGATGAAGCGAGATTGTCAAGAATAAGGTCGTGGGAGACGTTGTCAAAAACACCCTTCAGATCCAGGACCAGAATAGCCCGGGCCTGGTTTGAAGTCGGGCTATCCAACACGTCCTCCTTAAGCTATAACAATACGTCCTGTGTAGAGATACCAGGACGGTAGCCGAATGGTGTATCAGGAACAAAGTGATTGTCTTCGAGAAATGGTTGTAGTCGAGAGAGGACAACGCGTTCAAAGATTTTAGCTACACAAGAAGTTAAGGATATAGGGCGAAGATTCTGGAGGAATAGCGGCTTGCCAGGCTTTGGAATAAGCATGATTTCTGCATGTCGCCACTCCTGTGGTAGCGTGCCGTTGTTCCAATGCTCGTTGTAAAAAGCGGTTAAATATTCGATGGACTGGTCATCTAACGACGATGTTCCCACAACACATGAGCCATGGCATCCACATCGAATGCGCGAGTAATTATCCCTTGCTCGTAAGTGACGGACTACGAAGTCCTTACGCGCAAGGGATAAAACTCGCGCATTCGATGCGGATGCCATGGCTCATGTGTTGTGGGAAGATCGTCGGGGGTATACTACCGATTTACCTTTAAATTGCACTCACTGATAATATCTTAGCGGGTGTCACGGACGGCCATTTTTGGCGACACCGCGTCACGGCAATTAACGGGCGCCGTACTCCCCGACTGACCGTGAGAAACGGCGGCGCATGAAAGGGATCCGAGAAGTGCAAAATGGGGTGCTCTTCTTAGAACGTCGCCGCCGACAGTTAATCCTTTTGTAACTGTGGCGACGTCTGCAAGGTCGTAGAAGGCCGCGGTATACCCCGAAAAAGGATTAGACTACGAGACACACTGACTGAGAGCTAAGTGGTTGACCGTTCCCACGGGAAAAGCGTGGGAAACGCTCTGGTGGCCAAGCCGTATGACAACAACCCGACAGGTTGTCACTCTCGCTAGTTGCGGGCCCTCTCCCAATTAAAAAGGGGTGGGGTCAAAATATTTTTGGGGTGGAGTTTCCCATCAATTAAACGCGCATGATTGGACCCAGGTAGAGGTCTCTTGTCCCCAAGG